CACCCAAACACGTTCTGGCCCAATCAGCAGCCATCAAGGTTAAGCCCCGCCCCAAACCATCGTTTGATCAACGTCCATTGGGGCAACGTCTAACAATCAGCCGAACATTCCCCTGCTCGAGCCTGGAGCGAAAAGCACTTTGGGATATGTCGTTCATCAGTGAGACAATGGACATATAAGACATCGGAAACTGTCACCTCTGAAAAACTACAACTCCCACTAACGGGCCACATGAGCTGTTGACGTACAGCTGCATTATGTGGCATGTAATGTTAATTATTCATGATTATCCTTTAGCATAAATAATATATATAAATAAGGACGAGTCTCTATTTTTGACTCAGGCCCGAGTGCCTTAATAGTTTGTCAAGACCGTGACAGATTTAGTTTTCGCGTGCCCGGTTGACACCTGCACGCGCATCGTATATGGAAGCCTGCGGCTCGCGCCAGCGCAGCATCACTATTGACAAGGTGCCAACATCCACGGGACGAGCCGATTGCTACGGCAGCGCTGTCTTTCAAAAAAATCACTTGGCAAACAAAAGCTAACCCACTAACCTGTTCTTCTGTCGTCGGAGTAAAATCTCAAAGTGAGAGTTTAAGGAGAGCCGCATTATTCCACTGGCGCGACCGCTGCGCCTTTTCCCCTTGTTGATGCTGCACCATTTTCAGCCTCCTCTGCTCCTCCGCTCCAGCACTGATTCAGCATCGCTCGGATACTCCCACTATGCACCGCGCACATGCGTGACAGAGGACGGCTGTTGCGTGGCAACCAGAAAGGCGTGAATCTCCCTCTTTATCTGCAGACTTCGTCCATTGAGGAAATTTTGACAGAAACCTCTTAATATTGATACTTGTCATAAAGGAAAAGAGGAATGCATAATATTAGGGAAGAAATAACCGTGCAATTGGTTTAGAGTAATAAACACAATGGCACCTTCGTTAACCCTTGCATTATTATTAAAATTTAGATACGACATTGTTGCGGGTGAATAAATAAGACATAAATCAGATAGTTTTAACATCAGAAGTTCTCACACATTCATAACATAAATCAATATAAATAAAACTATGCAAATTACAAAAATCAGAATTTGAAGACGGGTAACGGCCTTTTAAACACCCTGTGCCCAAAAAGATTATATCATTTTAGCATACCATATCATTTTAAACAGACTGTGTTTGACAGAGATTGATAGGAATGTTAGAATTAATATCCAATTTCCTGCAAAATTGACATTTCTTTTGGAAGAATCGAAAAGATACTCCCAGAATTAATTTCAAAATCTGGTGTTGACAGATTTACTCCATTTTATAATAATAAAAATATTTGTAATGAGTCAAATTTAGCCATATATACATTAAACATCACCTAGAGGAAAATAATTCTGGAATGCAAACGTTTCCTGATTTTAATTGGAAAGGGACCTCAATTTGATACTTGCAAAAGGACTACCAAAATCTAATTTATTTTATTAGAAATGGACACCTTGAAAAGGTCTCTAATGCAAACTGATAACAAAAAGAATGACATGCTGTTGAAACCATGGAGGATTTTTTTTTCTGGTAATGATCCCCCACTGTAATTTTTGACTTTCTTTCAATGAGAATTGTAATAATCGTACATGTACATTATTTATGTAATCACTGTTTACTGTTATCATTACAATAGCCTAGTATAACATTATTATTGTTAATTTTTTTTTAAATTATTTATTTACTGCTCATGGATACTGTTTCTGAATTTTTCTTGTAATGTTAAAAAGGCTCAGAGTGTGTCTTGTAAATGAATGTATGGTGTTTTCCTATAGGCAACTATTATTTATTAAGCTGTTAATAAAATCAAAGAGTCATAAATAAAATAATTATGAAATGCATGAAAATTATAAATAAACATACATGCATACACGCATACATGCATTCATTCATACATGCATACTGTAGCTGACGCAGTTTAGTCAGCTTTTATTTTGTTTAGTGTTTTGTATTTCATTATTTGAATGTGTATTGGTATATGTTTATGTTACAAATTTCCGGTTGGCTTGAGTGGGAGGTCACATGATTCTCTTTGATTGATTTAACCTGTGAGAGTTTGTATGGTCACTCAGCACAGTGAAATCTCAATGCAAGCACCTGTTAAATGCTCCTGCTTATTCTACAGCCGGGTTATCAGGCCAACACGGTAAACTAAACATTGTTTTGTATATTATTTGTTTATGCTGATGTCCTGTCTATTGTGTTTGTGTGAAATATTTGGTTTGTTTATTTGTTTATCTTTCAGTTTTCACAGTGTTCAATAAAGGAAATGCATATGGACATCAGTATTTGGATGCGTGGACTGTTTTAATAACCTGCAGGTAGCTACACATACATACATACATACATACATACATACATACATAAAAAAGCCTTCACAGTGTACTCCTCATTTAGAGCATGCCTTATGGGTGTCAAATAGCCTATTATTGTTTTCCATCAAGATAAATGATATACTGAAAGAATTAGAAATGGGATTCTTGCTTTTTGCTGATGATGCAGCAATTTGTAAAAAGGAAGGAATATTGATTTTAGATGTAAGAGTAAGAAGAAAAAAGGAGTAGAATTTAGTAAGAATTTAGAAGAGTTAACATTTCAGTTCATATTAAGGAATATTCTATAAAATGATTCAAGAAATCAATTATATATATATATATATATATATATTGTAAAAAAAAAAAAAAAAAAAAAAAATCTTAAAATTACTCACCTGTGGGAGAGGATTTAAACCAGGGGGTCCCCAAACCTTTTCTTGCGAAGGGCCAAAAACCAGACTTGATTGATGGCTATGGGTCAAGGTAAATATAGCATTAGTATGACATTAAATTTGTTATGGGTCATTTCCTAATTTATTTTCCTGAATCCTGATATTGAAAAAAACTAGAAAACATTGCTTTATATGAACTGATGCAAATTTAAAAGATTATAAATATAATAAACTTACTACAGTAAAAACAAAAACAGTCCCATTTGTCACACATTGGAGTTCAATGCCAAATAGCAATGTTAGGCTGTTGCTATGTTATGTGCATTGTCCTCTATTCGCCAAGAGACAGTATTTACATGATTAATCTGATTCATTTACAACATTTAATTAAATTGCTTAATTTCAGTTTGCTATAAAACTATAAAAACAGACAAAAAGGTTAACTTAAATTCAGAATGATGATCTCTGTTAAAGGGATTCTCCACAATGCTCCTATTCAAATTAACTTTGGCCAGCGGGCCCTAGTCTGGACATCTAAGATTTAAAAAGAAGGGAGGATGGGGTGAGGTACGTCTTAGCAATACACACTCTACACCAGTTGGTGGCGGAAAAACACTGTTTTGCTGTTTGTCAACCGAGTAAAATCACAAGAAGAAGAGGATTTGTTTTGGCTGGACGGAGGTGAACATGGCTGATGTGTCGGAGAGGACGTTACAGGTCGCGATAGTCGTCTCGTTTGCGGCTGGTTTTGTCGCCGGTTGGCAGGCAAACAGGATGCGAAGAAAGTTCTTGGACTGGCGGAAAAAGAGGTTGCAGGACAAACTCGCGGAAACACAGAAGAAGCTTGACCTGTCGTGACATACAAGTTATCACGTAACCGACCTGGTAAGACACGTGTCTTTCATAACTATCGTTTTCTATGGAGTAATTTGCTTTCGTTTTACACTATAATCGGTATAACTACTCTTTCATTTCTTTAGTGCCATGTGGTCTTCAATGCTGTGATTTCATGAGCAGAATCAAGTGAATGAACGAGGATCAAGCTGTCAAGTCTTTGGATCAAGTCACAAGCTACAGCAAGGAACACACCTGTCAAAGACTTTAAACACTGAGAAAAACAATGTATTTCTAAGATTGTTTTGTTTAATGTTTGTGCAAGCCATATCCATAATGTTACCACATCTGTGCTCTCTTCTTGTTTGTCGAAGTCGAAATAAACTGAAATATTTTGATAACACTGTTGATTACTATTTCTCAGTCATGGCTTGCAGCTGGAAGGGTATCTGCTGCTAAAAACATGCTGGATAAGTTGGCATATAATTCCGCTGTGGCAACCCCAGGGACAAAGCTGAAAAGAAAATGGATGAATGTTGAGTACTATGAAAGTATTATAATCAATGTGTTAAAAAATTGAGATGTAAAGTTTAAGCAGAAGTAATCTGAATGGAACAATGTTTCTGCATTCACAGAACTGACAGAACATGATTCAATCACAAATGAAAAATCTTGGTAAAATATTAAATATTTGCATCTATGTATTTGACAGCATAATTGTCAAAATACAGTATTTAAACATTATGGCTCTCAGAAATAAAGGTAGAGCATTTTGATTATTAAAAAAACAATGGCACATAACGAAAAAATCCAAATTGGTACCTTAAATTAACTGTACCAGTAACAACATATGTGTGAAACAAACAACATTTATATCTTTGTTAATTTATTTGTAAGCGTTTTATAATACTGAGCGAGAATGAACATCAGATGTATTTTTTAATAATAAACCTTTGCTAAGATGAATAAACAATATATCAAATATTTCGCTAGTTTTGTCATGTAATAAATAATAGACTATTTCTTTATGAAAATTCAACACTTCCTGGAGTTTGTAAGATTTTTATACATTACCCTTTTTGGGCTGGAATTTGCAGTTTTTAGAATAAAAAAAATCTGTTTATTTGTATATTCTATATTTGTAAAGACTGATTATACATTCTAACATTTATTATTTTTTTATAGCTATATATAAGTGTCGGTGATGTTTGTAGCATTACGTATCTAAGTGTGGGCATCAAAAGTAACCTGAAAATTGAAGTGTATCAAATATGAATGTTTGGGTCTCCACTGTAGACAACAGGAAAACTCACACTGGAAACCTGTTTTACCAAAGCGTGCTACTCATAGCTCAAAGCAAGAATTGAGGTAAACTTGGTTTTATAATCACACATTCTGACTTTCTCCTTAACAATATAATTTCAGAAATGTATTTTTATTATAAACAGAGGAATCAAATTACCAGCCAATGACTTTAAAAAGCACATTGTTCATAGTAAAAATATATGGAAAAATATGGATAATATTTTTAATTCATACTTGCACTTGATTTCAGGACGAAATGATAACGGGGCATGTCACAAGTTCTCGCTGAACGAATAAGCGAATATAAAACCAGCAGTGGTTCAATTATAACAAATCCACACAGTAAGTAGGTCCATAATAATGAGGTTTCACAAAGACAGTTTAATTTTATGATAAGAAAAATAAGCGAAGAAAAGCAAATAATTCTTACACTTAACTATTTAGCAGAGTGCATTGATGTATTTATGTGTGTGTTAAAGGGATAGATCAAAAATTGAAAATGTACTTACTATTTACTGCCCCTCAAGTGGTTCCAAACCTTGAAATGTGTATTTTCCATAGTAGTAGCTACTATTGAAGCCAACATTAACATGTCTCCATCTTTATTCAAAATATCTTCTTTTTTGTTCAACTGAAGAAAGAAAGAAAGAAAGAAAGAAAGAAAGAAAGAAAGAAAGAAAGAAAGAAAGAAAGAAAGAAAGAAAGAAAGAAAGAAAAACGGAACAAGTAAAGGGTGGGTAAACCATGACAGAAGTTTGAGTTTTGGATGAGCTATGCCTTTAATGGACTCTCTCTGGCGCGCACAGTGATGAGGTCATAACAGCGTCGCATAAAAGTATCTTAGCAACCTCATTCGGAGCGTCTGTCCTGTCATGGCGCTGCAGATGCATCTTCTTAAAGCAAATCTGAGCGCAGCAGGGACATTTCTACAAATCTCACATTCGAATTGCCGTTTGTGATCGATCCTTCTGTCGCGAATACAACATGCCTCCAAAGAGAAGAGGGCCCCTTCAGATTGTCCAAAGAGAAACGGATGACATCAAGCGACAGGTACGTTACCACTAAATCAAATGTCTTTTTTGTGTTAATACACAATAAATACAAGAAAAGATCTGTGTCTGTGCTTTAGGTGGATGCTTTGGTGCAGCAAGCCGCTAAAGCAGATGTGTCAGAAAACAAAGAGGCCTTGCAGAGGTAGAGGACTTGTATCTGTTGTGTTTTTCTAAATCATTCGTTAAAATACGTTGGTTTCTCTCTACATCCAGGAACGTTTATCTTGGTGTTTTGGATTTCAGGTGCAGAGAATTACAGCGCTTAGTGGACGACATTATGAAGAGGCTGAAGAAGTTATCTAAAGTAATGTAAAACCAATACATTTTAATGGTTTTTAGTTTGTTTTGTGAAGTATTCCATTAGGATTTAGTGGTTTAAAATGCCATCAAAGAAGGCAATTTGTCAATAGTAACTGACAGGACCAATACATTTCCTATTACCAATAAACACTCTCACTACACCACAGAAGTATAATTTAATAAAAGAAAGAGAGAGAAAGCTGGATTTATCATTAGTATGTGCTTTGGATAATTTGTTTATTTGTTTTTATTTTATAAACTACTGTTAATAAATTCTGCATTCAAAGTATTTATGTACAAGCCTGTAGTCGGGGGACGTTCAAATTGTTTGAAAATCCCACCCTCCACTGACAAAGGTCCAAAATTTGTCCCATACACTAACTCATTTGTCCTATTTTGACTGCAGTGCCATCATACATTGTGAAAATAACCCATCTAAGAAAGTTTTAAAACCAAGTAAAATCTTTTTGTTTTTTTGTTGTTAAATAGAATGGACATTTTACAAGTAACTTTTATTCTAAATCTTGCACCAATAGAAATGTGTTAAGCACCAAAAGTTACTTTTGAAGCCTATTAAAGTTAATTTTAATACTAATTAGGCTATTGTTATCCATGAATTTTCAAATATATTCTTTTTTTACAATAAAGGCTAGATTTAGCTTTTTTTATCATTCAAATGGCAAAATTTTGACTGAGGAAAGTTGAACGTGCTGGTAAGTTTGTTATTTGCCCAACAAATTCAATTCATGTTCATTTATTGCGCTTTTCACAATGTAGATTGTATCAAAGCATTTTAACATAGTTCTAGTAAAGTCCAGATTTCAGAGTTGAAGTTCAGTTTAGTTAAGTTCAGTGTGGTTTAAATTTTACTGCGGAAAGTTCAAACACTGTTGAACAAACCCACCGAAGCGCAGCTCCACAAGTCCCGATCCAAGCAAGCCAGTGGTAACACTGGCGAAGAGGGAAAAAAATACTTAACTAATTGACAAAGCAAAGGAAAAAAAAACCTCGAGAGAGACAAGGCTCTGTTGGGCACGACCATTATTCTTCTGGCCTAACTTCTTCTGTGGAGCTGCAGTCTACGCATCGTAGGCTGATAACAAGCTACAATTTTTTATTTTAATGACCACCGACAAGCTAATCCAGCTAAAAATTGTGCTTGAAATGTCACTAAAATGTAGTATTTAAACCTCTTACTTAAATAGAAAAGTAGCAGAATAACTGCAAAAAGGTTAACTTTTTGAGAAAAAATAACCACCACCCCCTTTTACCAGACTGGCTATGAAAGGTCAAAATAAAATGTTTTCAAAGATTAAATATTGAGCGAAGGAATCATTTTTGTATAGATATTTTCACACACACACAAAGCTTCTGCAAAGTAAACCAGCATTTAGTCAAATGAAAAAGTTCAAACTAGACAAACATTGAAAAGAAACAGAACTTTAATGCCACTTGTTACACATCAGACGAGTCAAGATGTGCTGATGTGAAATGACACTGATTAATTATCAAGTATTAAATTAAAACCTGAATTACATGTATGCAGGCAGATGAACCAGCTCCAGTTGGAAACTATGACCAGTGTAAGAGGGAAGAGGAGAAGCGGTTATTGACTTTACATGATCATCTACAGTCTCTAGCTCTTCAGCTGCTGCCTCATGATGAGTATGACACTCCTCATTCATTCCAACACACATTCACTCTCAAAATACCTGAACTTAAAGAGGTTTTCATGAGTTTGTTTCATGGCCATGTAGGACGGCTGGACCTAGTTCTTCACATACAGAACAGGACAGCGAGGAAGAGGATAGTGATGAAGAAGATGAGAGCTCTGAAGAGGAAGATGCTAAAGGAGACGTACACGAGGAAGATGATGATGCTGACAGTGCTGATGAAGATACAGATATGGCTGCTGCTGCAGAACAGGGATCTGCCTCCTATATCACTCTCAGTTCGTTTACAGCGGAGGAGGAAGGGGATCTCAGCATTCAGGTAACTTAAATGCTTAAATGCTTCAATTCAAGATCTTATTTATTTTTTGATGATAAAATTTGTCTCTTTGTGTTGTTTCAGAAAGGAGAGATTCTAAAAGTTTTGTCAAAAAATAAAGATGGATGGTGGCTAGCGCAAAACTCGAATGGACAGAAAGGCCTGGTGCCTAAAACTTTTCTAAAGGTGTGTATAAAGTCAGTGACACTCAGTGAGTGAGTTTAATTCTACTGTGTTATTACTTGATAACATGTAAGGTCATATAACCACATTCCATTGAGTTTTTAACTGCAGGAAATGCATAAAAATGTTTAAAGGATTACTTCATTATCTGTTTATTAAATGATACTATTGATCAATTCAGTTGGATGAATTTGTTACCTTTTGGTTACCCAGACTTTCAATGGAAGGAAAGAAACCTCTCAGTTTTTATTAAAAGTTTTTTAGTTATTTATTTTTTATTTATTTATTTATTTTGAGCACAGAGTTTTCATTTAAGGAGAACTAAAAAAACCTTAAAGGGAAAGTTTACCAAGACATGGTTTACTCACTTGTTCCAAACCTGTTTGAGTTTTCTTTTTTGTTGAACACAAAACAAGTTATTAAGAAGAATTCTGGAAAAACAGTATTTTTTGTTCCTACCATGAGTGTCTGTGGCATTTGTTCCATAGATACTTTAGAACAGCTTGTGTTTTGAGCAACAGAAGAAAGAAATTCATAAAAGGTTAGAACCAATTTAGTGTGAGTAAATGGTGGGAAAATATTCATTTTTGGTTGAGACTATTCTTTTAACCACTTAAAGCACAAATGGAAAAAAGATAATATCACTAAAGCAGTGCTACATTATTGTAAGATGTATTTGCTAGTAAGGCAGTGAACTAAATGAAAGAAAAGACTTTTGTAATTACATGCAAGAAAAATGCTATACACTACTTACCAACTTATCCAGCATATATTTTTACACAGCGGATGCCCTTCCAGCTGCAACCTGTCCATACACATATTCACACACACACACACACGCACACACACACACATACACTATGGTCAATTTAGTTTATTTAATTCACCTATAGCACATGTGTTTGGATTGTGGGGGAAACTGGAACACCCGGAGGAAACCCACGTGAACATGGGGAGAACATGCAAACTGCACAGAAATGCCAACTGACCCAGCTGTGACTCGAACCGATGATCTTCTTGCTGTGAGAAAGTTTGCTGTGCTAAGCACTGGGCCACCGTGTCACCCCCCACTACTTTACATCCAAACAATTTGCGTTGGAGAGGTTTTATAATGTTTCATTATAAGTTTGATTGATATTTTCACATTATGCATTTAGACTAGAGTATGTTTAGATTAAAGTTTACGTTGCCTGGATCATCAGTCAGAGCAGGTCATGTTTTTTAATAAAAATCCAAATGAAGCTTTTAAATAAACGGGGGAGAAAGGCTAAGCTACAGTGGCCGAGAAAGCTCACTTGTCCTGCAAGTTAAGAACACACATGCATTTAGATGCTAACAAACGGAAAATTTAAGCTGAAAGGTGAGTTTTTATTTTTGGCCGAAAATATACAAACAAGAAACTGTAAGACCAGGACATTAATCTTAAGAAAAAAAAACAGATCTCTGACAACACTGGTGACTCTAAACAGGCAACAGTCAGTTTCATCCCTTTTTGGGTCCCCTGAAACATTTGCATTGCGGTTTGCACTATTTGCCCCAGTTAGTTATCACAAATGTAATGAATTAAATTCTTAAATGTATTTTAACCTTGTGCTTTTAGATGTCATCCTCTCCACAGGACAGTGAGAGAGAGAATGAAGATGAAGAGGACAGCGAGGAAGAACAGGAATCCAGGTGCTATCTCCCCACTCTCCACTAGACGGCAGCGTTGCCTTCATTTTCTGCTGTTTCTTAAAGCAGTGATTATGCCTAACACAGTATGATACAGTTTATATTATTTTAAAGATTAAATAAAGCCTCGTTTTTTCTAGCAAAACATCCAATTGGAACACAGTACGGAAGGCTGTAACTGAGGTACGTTCTATTCAGAAAAGAGCACCCATAGTAATCTACATGTTAGTTACTCCCCCTCACATGCCTTGATGTATTGTAATGTGTTACATCTGCAGATTGATGCTACAGATGTGCTGTCGGCGATGGGTGCTATTCCTCCAGGCTTCAGACCTTCAACATTATCCAGACTTCTGGAGGAAGGTCATAACCTGCCCATGTATTTAGCAAAAACCATATTGTAGATGACAGGCAAATTTCATTGCCCAGAATGCACTTTATAATACATTACCTTATAACATCTAATGTAGATTTAATGCTAGATTATACTTGTTTTATCTTTCTACCGTTTGCAGGGTCATCTTACAGAGCAAGTCACTTTATTCAACCCAAGCTTAGCCAGTCTCAACTGTCATTTAAAGATCTCCATATGGATCCAGACACAGGAAAGGTATTTAACTGCAAATCACACACTTGCTACATTTGCCATAATTTTATGTAAAAAAAAAGTTGTTGTTAACATAATTAAAGTGTTCTAAAATGCAAGTTAGCCCTGAATTTTTAGCTACTATATTTTTAGCCTTCAATGTCATGAAGTCATTCTAATATGCTGATTTTAAGAGTTCACACTTAGCTGATGATTGATTATAAAGCGTGTTTGGCATGCTGTCCCAGGAGAGAGCCCTGAGCTCAGACTATGGGGCTCCCTCTCGTTTGAAGGACGAGAGGGGAGTTTGAGCTCAGGTAGATCTCGAACTCCCCTTCTGCTTGTGTTCGGAATAGCTAAGAGATATAGCTGACTAAGAGTTTGTCTTATAATGCCACTTTGGATTAGTCAATTTACTCATAATGTATGTCTTTAGAGTTTGGTAGGAAACCGGGGAACCCAGGGAAAACCCATACAAGCAGAGGGAGAACATGCAAACTCTGCACAAAAACGCTGACTGGCCCTTTAAGGGCTTGAACCAGTGGCATTCTTGCTGTGAGGCAACAGTGCTAAGGAGAAGGGGGAGGACAAGGGGGAGGAGTAGGGGTGTAAGGGGGATTCTTTAAGACAGAGATGACTGAAGTGGAAAACGTTCGAGGTTACTAAAGTAACCCTTCGTTCCCCGAGGAGGGGAACGGAAGCACTATAAGTGGATTTGATTGTAAAATCCACGCATTGGGAGGTTCGGTTCAGAAGCTACTCGTCTGAAAGAGTATTGAACGGGCCAATTAAGAATGAATTGGCAGCGCAAGCCTGCGCAGGTGAGCGGCATAAGCAATCAACTGAGTATATAAGCTCACCTGGCGCCAGCAGACGCTATCCTTTTTAAGCTGAAGAGACTTTCAACAGCTAAGGGACAGTCATTATGGCGACGGAGTATAGTGCTTCCGTTCCCCTCCTCGGGGAACGAAGGGTTACTTTAGTAACCTCGAACGTTCCCCTTCGGGGGGAACTTCAGCACTATAAGTGGATTTGATTGTAAAATCCACGCATTGGGAGCCCATTGAAAGCGCCATAATGACTGCACCTTACCAACACCCCCGATGAGGAGATAGTCAAGCAAGCGTGACGCACCCACATCATGGGGGGCGCGGTCCTCCAACGTGTCCCTGGCCCTAATTTATCCTACTTCAACAGAAGTTTTACGGATTTATATATATTTTTTGGGAAGTCGTGAGCATCTAGATAATTCTAGGAAAATACGACAGTACGTTGGGAAGCGTGCAATCCCGATAGGGAGGACGCTGCGGAGGCCATCCGTTACCCAAGGGGGGGATAGATGACAGAATTTACATATGGACTAGCCCTAAAAAGGGGGAGTACGCATAGCAAAAGAGTGGTTAGCGGGGAGGGAAGACACGGGTCCGCCCAGGGGGGGGACTTAACCGTGGCGGAATAAGCATATGGGATCGCCTAGTGGGGATCAGCATAGCAGGCACCTTTACCCAAAACGCGGGCTGACCAGCGGGCAGACCTACAACGTAGTGGGCCAGCAAGTGACTCCTCCGCTGAGTCAGTGCTGGGGGCCACGGAGGAATCTGCAGGGCTCACCTGACGGGGAACTTTACTGACAGATAAAAAGGCGCACGTATCTCCGTGTTAGGGAAAATGGCGCAGCAAGCGTGTTTCAACACCCTACCGAATTGTTTCCTCAATCACCAAGGGTTACCTAATACCCTTGAGGAAACCGGCTCCACTCGCAGATTGTAAAACCTTGCAAATGTGTTGGGTGTCACCCAGCCCGCAGCTCTACAGATGTCTGTTAGAGGGGCGCCGCGTGCGCGCGCTCGAGAGGATGCGAAGCTCCGAGTGGAGTGCGCACGCGCTCTCGGGGGACGCGGCTCATCTCGGCTCTGATAGTGAAAGAAAGGCATCCACAATCTAGTGGGAACTTATTTCGGTACGGCACTTCCCTGCTGCCGACCGCTATAACAGACGAAGAGCTGCTCAGATGATCTAAACTCTGAGTGCGGTCCGGATAATACGCAAAACGCGAACTGGACAATAAGAAGGGCTGGGTCTGCCTCCTCCGAGGGCAGCGCTTGCAGGCTCACTACCTCGTATTAAAACGGAGTGGTAGGAACCTTGGGCACATATCGCGGGCGGGGTCTCAGGACGTGAGAGAAGCCAGCCCAATTACAGGCACGAGTCACTGACCGAAAAATGCCTCCGGGTCCCCGACCCTCTAATCGATATCAACGCGACCAGCAGAGCTGTCTTCAGGGACAGAAAGATACTGAGTCGAGGATCGAAGGGATCTGACGCGGCTTGTGTAGCGAGGGCGAGATCCTAAGAGGTCATGAGAGGGGGCGGGGTGGATTAATTCGCTTAACGCCCCTGAGGAACCGGATGATGAGGTTATGCGTTCCCACGGTGCTGCCAGCCACCGCGTTATGAGAGCGGAGATGGCAGCCACGTAACCTTGAGTGTGGAGGGCGACAGCCTGCTCTCCAACTTCTCTCGGCGTAAAGAAAGCACAACGCTGATCTGGCAAATTACGGGGGTCTTCTCAGCGAGAGACACACCATTCAGTGAATAGACTCCACGTCAGGGCATAGGCGCGCTCGGGGAGGGGGCTCTAGCCCGAGTGACGGTATTAGCCACCGCAATCGGAGGTTACCTAAGTCTTCCTCGCGTCTAAAAATCTCTTCAAAGATCGGCGAGGGTGCCAGGTGGTGCCCTGTCCCTGAGAGAGTAGGTGCTCTCTCGAAGGGACTGCCAGGGGAGGGCTATCGCGAGGGAGAGCTCTGACATCCAGGTCCGGTTGAGCCAGAGGGGCGCAACCAGCAACCTGTTCCTCATCCTCCCTGACCTTGCACAGTAACTGCGCGAGCAGGCTCACTGGGGGAAACGCGTATTTGCGCGTGCCCCGAGGCCAGCTGTAAGCCAGTGCATCCGTGCCGAGAGCACTCGGTCAGGGAAAGAACAACTGGCAATGAGCGATCTCGGGGGAAGCAACAGATCGATCTGGGCTTCCCCGAATCGCGCCCATATCAGCTGAACAGACTCGGGGTGGAGTCTCCATTCTCCAGGACGCAAGGCTGCCGTGAGAGCGCATCGGCTGCACGGTTGAGCTTGCCTGAATATGAATGGCGTGCAGCGATTTCAGCCGCGGATGACTCCAGAGGAGCAGACGGCGGGCGAGCTGAGACATGCGGCGAGAGCGCATACCCCCTATACGGCTGATATACGCCACCGCCGCCGTACTGTCCGTCCTGACCAGCACGTGTTGCCGCTCCAGCACCGGAAAAAAACGGTGGAGAGCGAGGAACACTGCCAACAGCTCCAGGCGATATGCCAATGCAACTGGGTACCTTTCCACAGGTCCGCAGCCGCATGCCCGCAACGCACAGCCCCCCAGCCCGTGTTGGAAGTGTCTGCTGAAACGACAACAAGACTGGACGCCTGTTCTAGAGACACCCAGGCCTGTAGGAACGAGGGGTCGCTCCAAGGGCTGAGGGCGCGGCGACACAGCGCAGTAACAGAGACTCGGTGTGCGCGCGCGTGCCTTGCGCGTCTGGGGACTCGATCGTGAAGCCAGTGCTGAAGTGGTCTCATATAGAATAATCCGAGCGGCATGAAGCGGCTGCGGATGCCATATGCCCCAGGAGCCTCTGAAATAGTTTCAGTGGGACCACTATTTTACTGTCGAGCTCTCTCAGACAGTACAGCATCAGCTGAGCGCGCTCTCCGGAGAGGCGCGCTGCCATGGTGACCGAGTCCAGCTCCAGCCCGAGAGAAGAGATCCTCTGCACGGGGGCGAGTTTGCTCTTTTCTCGGTTGACCTGAAACCCCCACAGGTGGAAGTGCCAGAGCACTTTGTCTCTGTGCATAATCAACTGCTCCGAGAGAGGGCAAAATCAGCCAGTCGAAAAGAAATTGAGTATGCAGATGCCCGCGAGCCGAAGGGGCGCTGAGGCACCCTCCGCGGGCTTGGTGAGGACCCGCGGAGACAGAGAGAGCCCGAAGGGGAGGGCTTTGTATTGCCAAGCTCGACCTTCAAACGCAAACCGCAGAAACTGTCGGTGGCGAGGAAGAGTGGAGACATGGAAATACGCGTCCATCAGGTCTAATGCTGCAGACCAACCCAGAGGACGAACGCACCGGAGGATGCGCTTCTGCGTGAGCATTCTGAACGGCAGCTTGTGCAGGCAGCGGTTCAAAACGCGCAGATCTAGGATTGGCCGTGACCCACCGCTCTTTTTGGGCACGATGAAGCGTGGGCTGTAAAACCCGCTCTCCATCTCGGCTGGAGGGAGCGGCTCGATTGCATCCTTCGCCAGGAGGACAGCAATCTCCTCTCGCAAGACAGGGGCGGACAGGGGGCTGACCCTGGTGAATACACACCCGTGACTTGGGGGGCCGTTTCGCGAACTGAATCGCATAGCCGAGTCTGATTGTGCGTATGAGCCACCGCGAAGAGCTGGCCCGCGCTAACCAGGCAGGCAGAGCTCTCGCTAATGGACTCATCGCTACAATCGCTGACGTACCAGCAGTGGGGCAGCACGGAGTGGGTGTGCTGATCCGGGAAGCTCGCGGGTCCCACGGAAAAGCTGGAGGTGAGATATTTGCTCTCACTCCAAACCCGAGCTCCGGAGGGGAGGCTTGAGGGGTGGGAGAAAGGAGACCGTCCTCCCAGCGCTCGTGAGCCACTGGCGAAACGCACCGAATCTGCAAGCTAGAAAGCATAGCGTCCCAGACTGGCAGATTTCGGGCTGTCACATCTGGGGAAGTGAAAAGTGCCCTTTCATAATGTTTTCATGGCAGTAAAAAGTGCCGTTGGAAATGGGGCCCCGCCCTCCAGCGGGGAAAGAGCAAGTTCCCTCTTCTCCAGATGGCCTGTCCCAGGGGCGCTTCGCGGTCCGTTGCCGGACTTAGCGGCGTTCTGGGCAGGGGGGCTGCCTGCTTCCGAGGTGCCCGACGCGCTCGCTTCGCCGGAGGCGTGTGCGGGGGCGGAGCAGCTCTCGTAGGCGGGCGCCTTCGGCGAGGAGCAGGTATGAATGGCACGGCGGGCGGAGCGGGCTACGGACCGCCGATAAGACATCACCCACCAACTGCTCTCTCACCGCCTTGAATTCCTGGGTGAATTCACAGACAGTGTCGCCGAACCTGGCTGGGGATATGGGGAAGTCAAGAAAGCGGACTTTGTCGACTTTGCGCATATCAGCCAGGGGTGGCGCTCCTGGACCACCAATGTGGACATCGTCCTCCCCAACGCACACGCAGCGGACTCAGTAGTCCGAAGAGCTAAGTCGGCGGCGGTGCGAAGCTCGTAAGCCTGGGTTGGACCCATCCTCGTGCAGCTCGGCCAGCGCCTGCGCTTGGTAGCGCTGGTAGGTGGCTATCGCATGCAAGGCGGAAGCAGCCTGGCCCGCAGCTATGTAAGCTCTAGCTCCGAGGGAGGTAGATAACTTACAGGCTTTGGATGGGAGACGAAGCGGACCCCGCCAAGAAGAGGCACCGCGCGGATTTACCGCCATCGCGCACTCAACCTGAGGAATCGCCACATACCCCCTGGCTGTTTCACCGTCAAGAGTGGTTAGGGTGGAGGAACACGCAGCACGAGCAGAAAAATGTGCTTTACAAGACCGCGTGAGCCTACTGTGCACCTCCGGGAAGAAGGGAACGCCCCTCTAGTCGGTCCGGCCGCGGAGCTGGGGGATAAACCATCTCCAACCCACGGCCGAAGCAGCCCGGGAAAGCACGGCTAACATGTCTGTTTCAGGATCCGTAGTGACAGCGCTCACCAGCCCGAAGGGGGCGAGCGGGTCTGGATCATCATCGGACAATGAAAGCCCACCCTCCGATGCCGCGGTGGACATCTGGTCTCCGGTGTCATCGGGCGTAAGGGCTACCATCTGTTAGACGGATCGCTTCCCCCGCCCGAAGCTTGGATGGAGCGCTTAGAGGAGCGGGAGGTCCGCGGGCCCGTGGGCGACGGATTATCTCTCGCTGAAACCCTCAGATCTGCCCGAGTGCCCGCTGCAGAGCAGGGGACAACTGGGGTGGTTCACCCTTTTGCAAAGGCTAACCGCGATCTTGCGCAACAGTCATGGCATCGCAATGACGACATGAACTGCCCGCGAGCAGCGCATTAACATGCTGGACCCCCAGACATGCAACGCAGTGCCCGCGCCCATCATCCGAGGACAGGAAACCACCGCATCCAGAAACGCACAGTCGGAGCGCCGTCCTGATAAGGACGTGCTGCACGACTGTGTTGCTCTTTCTGTGAAGTTTGCAACTTTATACGCACCGCTCTGGAGGACCGGACCCAAAGAACGCCAGGCAAGGGAGAAACCCAGCTCGACCGTCTGCCACTGCGTGTACACACTCTGGACCGGGAGAATGCTCTCGTTCGCTCAGAATCGCTGGTCACAGCAGGAGGAACCCTCATCGACTCGATCAGAAAGTCTCTGAAGCGAAAAGGATAGCGTCTGCTGGCGCCAGGTGAGCTTATATACTCAGTTGATTGCTTATGCCGCTCACCTGCGCAGGCTTGCGCTGCCAATTCATTCTTAATTGGCCCGTTCAATACTCTTTCAGACGAGTAGCTTCTGAACCGAACCTCCCAATGCGTGGATTTTACAATCAAATCCACTTATAGTGCTGAAGTTCCCCCCGAAGGGGAACTGATTATTTATAGTGAGTTATTTTTCATCTGATTGGTGCAATATGTGAAGCTGATGCGGGACCAGCCGTGTTCATGTGATCCTCGCAAAATTAGTTTATAAATAAACCACACTTAGTGCTCAATTGTGGTGCTGTTTTTATTGATGCTGAAAACTTTAGTTACGTTTAGTCAACTTAAATCCTTAGTCTATCAAGTTGCTAATCTAGTCAAGTTGCTAGTCAAGTCAAGTTGTTAGTCTGGTTAAGTCAAGTAGTTAGTCATGCCAGGTCAAGCTTTTTTGGTCCTTTTTTGTTTGCTAGATTCCTTTTTTGTTTCATGTTGGTAACTATAAGGTATTTTGTTTTTGCAACCCCACTGGCTGTTGTTTGTGCTTGTTTTTACCCAAATTTTCTGTTACTATTACTTTTTAAATAATTTTTTTAATGAATAAGGCTGCATTTATTTAATCCAAAATACTACAGCAATGTTATAAAAAATGTTTTTACAATTTTAAATAACTATTTAAAATATATTTTAAAATGCATTATTTCTTAGTTGGTAAATATGAAATTCATTACTCCTGTCTTCAGTGTCTTATTCAGAAAGGATATAAAACACAAATCATATTGAACTCTGTAGTCTTTGGAAAGATACTGTATAATGTTACAGAAACGTTAATACAGATCAAGGAAAGGCTGTTCTTCAGAACTGGTCTGTTCTTTACAAAATCCCGCAATAATGTACAGAACATGGTACATTATTCTCAACCTTGATAAAAAATAGTATTATAATGTTTTTGTACAGCAGCAAATCATATTACTTTAATTTGAATGGTCTTGAAGGATCATGTGAGACTAAAGAGGAGCAAGGATGCTGATGATTGCAAAAGCCGTAATACAATCAGCTGTTCAATTTTAAAGCATATTTTTAATAAATGAAGCCTTGGTATGCAGCAGAGACTTAAAAAAACATTTACAAAAGTTATACCAATCTAAAACATTTGAACCATAGTATATTTCTGCACACATTTATAAGGAATGTGTTTTTGTCCAGGTTCACGGTCGGCCATCTAGAGTCAGTTTAACCCTGACCCTGTGGAGCTGTAGAATGATCCCATCACCCGGGGTCGGGTTACAGGTGCTTAGCAGACACGTTCGGCTCTGTGCATTTAACGGAACTCAGGTAACACACACACACACATAGACAATCTTTTTTAATACTATATAAACTGTATATTCTGTCCCCTGACCCCAAACTGGTAGTTTTTGATTCACAAGGAATAGTTGAATGTTTTTAGGACATGTAAATGAGTCATTATACACATTTGTAGTTTATAAACAATGTATTTAAGAACACACTCATACTTAAGCACCTAAAACTGGAATAGTTGGCTCTGTAAAATCCTAACAGAGAGGTATTAAAAGAAAGCGTTGAGTAAGGATTCTGACATGATGTGTTGCTCATCTGGAACACTAATCAGGGTGGAACCATTTAAAACCAAAAACAAACAAAAGCATCAATGGATTACCAGCTAGTGTGCTTGAATTAAAACGGGTGCAATCCAAAAGCATGAGTGTCAAGCTCTTGACAGCATTTTTCAGGAGTGAGTGTTAATTTATTAATTTAAGTCCTTTATCTTTACAAAGTTAGTCTTTCACAACCCTGAATTTTTTGTTCTTATTTAAAAGAGTACCAGGAAGTATTTTAGAGTGTGTTTGTTGATAATAAGTGTAGTATTATATTATAATGTCTATCATAGTTTTTACTTAAATCTTTGTAAACACTAGAGAACAATTCTAACGCACATTTAAAACCCATTTGTCTTCCAAATGTTTATTTTAAATGAATATTGTGTGGCTCCAAGGCGGTGTGTATAGTGCCATTGTTAATCCCGCTTGTTTGGTTCCACCCTTTGAATTTACTATAACATTTTTCTCTGTTAGGTTTTGAGTAACATCCACACAGTCAGAGCCACTTACAACTCCAAGAACCCAAAGACTTGGAGCTTTTCTCCACGGGTAAGCCTGATATAAACAATTACACAGAACACTCTACTTTTCAGTCACCTCATTTTGATACTCACTGTGAACTCTGGTAGATTGTTCTGCCCATACATGGGTAAGATTCAGTTGCTGCCATGTGCATGGCTGGTTACATATTTGCATTAACAATCAGTTGAGCATGTGTACCTATTAAAGTGGCCAGAAAGTACATATAAATACTGTGGATTTTCCTGTTTTGCATGTATTTTAGATGACTGGGATGCTGCCCTGTTTACTGGATGGAGATTGTTTTCTGCGTTGCGACTCTGAATCTTCCGATCTTGGAATTCTGTTTGAATTGGGTGTAACCTACATAAGAAACGTAAGCAGTAAATCACTGAGTATATTCAAATAATGTTAGAAAAACATTGACATTTCCATAAGAACACAAAATGACCTCTAATAAAGGTAAGAATTGACCTCAAAATGAAATTTTAAGTCATCATCTTAATGTTTTTGCCAAACAAAGTTTTTTGAGGAAGCCCAGACTTCTTCCTATATCATACTGACAAAAACGATCATATTGACAAGGTCAAAATATTTACAATACGATTTATGCTTGTTGACATTAGTTTATGCAGTGTGAGTTAATATAAACAACTGTAATTTCATCAGTGAACACTAATAAATGTATTGTTTTGTTGTTTGTTAGGTAAATACAATTACAGTACAATTGCTGTATGTTAGTAAGTACAGTAACTAACATTAACTATATGTACCGTATTGTAAAGTACTACCAAAATACAAACTTTTGTTTCATATAAATAATGGAGCTTTAGAACAACATGAAAATTACAGACCAACAAAATTTAGATTTTTGGGTAAATTACAAAAATTACAACAAAAGTTCATTTTTTTACCCAAGTAAATGTATAACTGAAAACAGGTAATTTGTTTAAATTCACTTTTTACATTATTATTAATATTTCTTTATTAACAATAGACTGTTAAAGCGAATTCTTTTTTTTTTTTTTTTTCCCAACAAATTTTTCACTTGTTTTATGTAATATGATATTTTTGCAAAAATTGTGTTGCGCAGGAGCGATTGGGTTGTTTTGCTCAGTATTTTTGTGGTGTTTTTTCAGTCTACTGGGGAGAGAGGAGACCTCAGCTGTGGCTGGACTTTCCTTAAACTGTTTGATGAAAGCGGAGCCCCCATTGCTCTACGGTACACTCCAATTACTTATTACGATATGATGAATGCAGATTAATTCTATACTACATACTTGCTTACAAACTGTATGTGTGTGCAGGACACAAGAGCTCACCATTCATGGTGGCACGCCATTCGAGAAAGACTTAGATATGGATACCATGTCTACAAAAAAAGGTGACATTATCTTCTAAAGATACAAAAAGAAACTCTCAGACACACAAACTGACAGCGCACATCTGTTCTGTGGTCTCCCTAGGGTATCAGACTGGTGTGTTTCACCAGATGTTGCTCTCCAGGAAGATGCCAAAACTTGTTGTGAAGCTCAAATCGCTAAACTCAAGCAGCAGATCGCGTCTGAAGTATGAGAGTATACTGTACATTTATATAGCATTTTACAGTATACAGCCTCATTAAGGGTGCATTTTTTTAAAATGCTGTCAAATTGTGTATTTTAAAATATTTTTACCATTACTTTACATAATGACTTTACTTTCATTTTTTTGTAATGATGAAACAGAATTTTCAGTAGCTATTTTTGCAATATTGGGGGAATTATTGTGATATTTAATTTTTATTTCATTAGATGGCTTTAATAGCTTTATTTGTAAAGGATTAACTATTTTATAACAATTGGGGTGATTTTATTGCTGAGTCCATGCATTAAATAGAACAAATTACAAGCTTAAGTAATAAAAGAACACTAATATTTATGTTTGTTTTAGTTTTGGGGGGGACGTCTAACAGTATTTACTTTAAGAAACTGATCAATCAATGCAAAATACAGTCTTGACTGCATTAAACTTTAGGTTATTTTACTGTTTAAGCTACAAACATTATCAATTCTCTCAGCTGAGTGCTTTAAATACAATGGAATGTTTACACAGTAAAAGGTTTCAAAACTCTGCAGATGATAATCTTTTAACTCTGTTATGATTACACTTAATGAATCTGCAAATTAATCTACAATTAGTCCATAATGACTTGCAGATCTGCACATATTATTACAGTATCATTTTTTTGGAATAGTGTATACTTAGATTTTCATCTGCTTTCTGATATATATATATATATATATATATATATATATATATATATATATATATATATATATATATATATATATATATATATATATATATATATATATATATATTATTGAAAAAGCATACATGTTATTGTAACTCACTATATCTTTTGTTTATATTTCTTAAGTCTGCTGCCTGACACTATCGTAGGAAGTCTGTCCACATTACATCTCTTGGCGACATACAGGCAAATTCTCGCTGATGCTCTTTTACTTGACAGAGTGACCATGTGTAATGCAGGTAGTGCACGAACACACACTTTTTCTTCTAGTGTTTGATGTGTCAAATATGTACATTTATCTGAGGCTCTTGCCACATTGCAACACAATATACACTTTTTTTTGTAACAAAGGGTCTGTCACGAGAGCAAATGTAAACATAAGACATAAATGAACAATGCAAATGAAAATGTAATGGTAAATAAGTTGCTTGCTTTTGTGTTTTCCATTCTAGATCTGATCTGCAGCTCAGTTTTAGCCTCCTTTCCTAATGTTCTAGATCAGCCAGATCTGATGGATGCATTTAGGGTGAGACTGGTTATATAAATACATGTTTACTTGGTGTTTACTAAATGTGAACTCGCCATACACTTCTATTTCTATATATACAGTCAAAGTCAGAATTATTAGCCCTCCTAAATTATTAGCTCTCCTGTATATTTTTTCCCAATTTCTGTTTAACGGAGAGATTTTTTCAACACATTTCTAAAAATAAAAGTTAAATAACTGATTTATTTTTTATCTGTGCCATGATGAGAGTACATCATATTTTACTAGATATGTCAAGATACTAGTACTCTAGTAGTATTGTATGGCATATACTAGTAGTAGTATTGATTCAAGATACTAGTACTCTAGTTGTATTGTATAACAGTGGTTTGTTCTGTAGACTATCAAAAAACATATTGCCTATGAGAGGTAATAATATTAATTATAATATTTTTAAAAAATGTATTTAAAAATGTTATTGAAACTTTTACTGAACCTAAAATAAAAATAAAAAAGGTTTTCTCTAGAAGAAAAAATTCACAGGTGTAATGCGAGGGGCACGCTGACAATGGAGGTGCGGATCTAAATGCAGGTTTATTCAACATTAAATGGTCAGGCAAGCAATGGTCAACACAGGGGCAAACAGAAGTATACAGGCAAATCCAGAGTCATAGTCATACAACAGAATGGTCAAAAGGCAGGCAGCAGACAACGTAAAAAAACAAAACAAGGGTCTAACACAGCAAGGCCAGGAAAACACATCGTAATGTTCACAAACAGATAATAAGACTCAGCCAAGATGTGTGTGTGTGCACTCGTTGTATTTAAAGTCTATGTAATCAGTCCATAATGATGCTCCAGCTGTGCGAGTGTGTAATTAATGGAATGAGGAACCGGTGTGTGTGTGTGTGTGAGCGGTGCCTGACAAGAGTTGTAGTCCATATGGTGTATTTGTTGACAGTTTTGTCCTGAGTGAAAGTTAATAATTCCCAGCAATCTACAAGCCTGGATCGCTGGTAATGGTGACAACAGGAGGGTTTAAAACTGTGACTTCAACTGTATAATTAATATCTCTAAAAGTATTTTTACAACAACCCTTCCATTAAAAGAAAACTTTATAGATCTATAATTATGGTGCCACTTAATATTAGTGTTTTTAAGTTTTTCCTTTCAAAAGGATTGATATATTTTAGTAACTGTTCATATTATATTGGAAAATACTTTTACAGTTTTTGCAAATATGTTTTAAAAAAAATTTAATGCACAGATTCTTTCCCTGTCAGCATTTTCTTTCTTTTTTTTTTAAAGTTTCCAGTCACTGACAGCAATTTTGATATTGCCCCTTAGGATGTTTTCTACTATGAACAAATAACCATATTCTAAATACAAATAAAGAACCAAGCCTCTGCTTTTAAACAAACAAACAAACAAACAAACAAACAAACACTAGCTTTGTGTTTAAACACCACGCAGATAGGATCTTTTGTGCCAATAAAAGAGATAAAAAAAACTTGTGTTTACAAAGTAGTGTGTTTTCAGGAAAGAAAGAAGAAAATAATTTTTTTAGTAGAAATGGACAGCACCTGAGTTAAATTTATGAGTATCACAGCAAAGCGTCTGAATACTTAGGACCATGTGATGTTTCAGTTTTTTTCTTTTTCTTTTTTTTAATAAATCTGCAAAAATTTCTACAATTCTGTGTTTTTCTGTCAATATGGGGTACTGGGTGTACATTACTGATAAAAAAAGGAACATTTTATCAAATGGCTGCAATATAACAAAGAGTGAAAAATGTATGCGAGTCTGAATACTTTCCGTACCCACTGTACATGCATACACTATAAGTGTGTATCCTTGCTTGTGTGTGTGCATGTGTGTATGTGTATTAGTTAGTCAAAAGGCGCAGATGTTCCAAGTACTAATCTTTAACCTGATTTTACAGAAATCCTGGAGCGAATCAGAGAGTAACCTGAAAAGATCTGAAAAGGTACAGAAACTTTTTTTCAATGCCAGATAAGAGTTTAAAAGTGTTTACCTATGCTAATTAAATCCAACATATGTTTCTTCTATCTATTCTAGAGGGATATAAACATACTAAAGCAGATGTTTGTGAGTGTCTACATGGGCAGCGTGTTTCCATTGCTGTTTTCTGCAGAAATGCCCACTCCCTGCTGGGCTGATGAGGAAACGGAGTCTCAGCGCGCCCGTATCATCTACAACCCTTCCCAAAAAACCTCAATAGAAACTCTGCTGTCCTCCCAAAACTCACATCAAGCCTTTGACATCACACAGGTCACCTATGACCTCATCAGCAGTGCCCGCCATTGAGTCCAGAGACTTATCACAAGCTCCTCCAAAAGATAAGTGTCCAACTTCAAAGGAAACTGTATTTAAATGTTAATAATAAATCTCTCACACCCTACCAAAATACCCCATTCATCATAATGCTTATACGGGGAAATCATGCCACATTTACAGCATCCGTGTTTCCTTCTACTATGGATCTGTAAAGCCTTCAACCTTAAATAATGGTCTATTTTAAGTACCACACCTCCCGAGCACAACTCCTCCCTCTCTTAATCTCTCCTTTTTTTCCTCACACATAAACATAACTAGATGATTTAAATACACACCCCACCGTCTTTAACACAAGCCTACTATTTAACCGTATTCCACTCCTTTAAAACATCTTGCACATTTGGAAACCTGTTCTGGTTTTCTGTGTGTCTGACACACACCGCCTCACCCCACCATCCTGCAGGTGTGGTTTTGGATGCTAACAGAGATGAAGACATGAATCAGCATTAATTCCCTTGAAGAAAAACAATCTTCCTTAGTATCGTTGATGGAAAGAGGTGTGACGCATGGCGGTTTAATATTTAAACTAATTACATTCTATATACACATGCTTTCTGCTAGCATATGGCACAATTTTGTGCTGTAATCATTCTTTCATTCATTCATTTATTTTCTTTTCGACTTAGTTTCTTTATTAATAAGGGGTCGCCACAACGGAATGAACCGCCAACTTATCCAGTATATGTTTTACGCAGCGGATGCCCTTCCAGCCGCAAACCAACACTGGGAAACACCTATACAGTCTTGCATTCAAACATACACTAAAGCCAATTTAGCTTATTCAATTCCCCTATACCGCATGTCCTTGGACTGTGGGGGAAACCGGAGCACCGGAAGGAAACACACGAACACAGGGAGAACATGCAAACTCCACACAGAAATGCCAACTGACTCAGCCAGTGCTCCCCACTGCGCCACCGTGGTGTAATCGGCGTTCCTATATTTAAACCATGTTTTTTATTGTAAGTCACAATCACAGTCAAGCTACTGTTTTACAGGACAATACAAACATTGTTCACCATGCTGAAGCTCCACAAAGAGTCTTTAAAGGGGAAAAGGACTTAATATCTTTTTTTTCTGTTGAGCACAAAAGAAGATATTTTGAAGAATGCTGAACACACTGTTAACCATTAATATTAATAATAGGAAAAATATTTTTGTAGTCAGTGAATACCTGTTTCCAAATACACTCACCGGCCACTTTATTAGAGACACCTTACTACAGTAGTACCGGGTAGGACCTCCTTTTGCCTTGAGAACTGCCTTCATGGCATAGATTCAACAAGCTGCTAGAAATATTCCTCAGAGATTTTGGTTCATATTGACATGATAGCATCGCTCAGTTTCTGCATATTTGTTGGCTGCACATCTAGGATGTGAAGTTCCCGTTCCATCACATCCCAAATGTGCTCTATTGGATTGAGATCTGCCAACTTTGGAGGCCGTTTGAGTAAAGTGAACTTAACTCAACACTTGTCAGGTTCAAGAAACCAGACTGAGATGATTTGTGGTGCGTAATCCTGCTGGAAGTAGTTATCAGAAGATGAGTACACTGTGGTCATAAAGGGATAAACATGGTCAGCAACAATACTCAGGTAGGCTGTGGCATTGACACAATGCTCAAATTGTACTTACGGGTCCAAAATGTGCCATAAAAACATCCTCCACACCTTTACACCACCACCATTAATTAAACAAGGCAGGATGGATGTTTTCATAGTTGATGCCAAATTCTGACCCTATCATCCGAATGTTGCAGCAGAAATCGAGACTCATCAGACCAGGCAACTTTTTTCAATCTTCTATTATCCGATTTTGGTGGGCCTGTGTGAATTGTAGCCTAATTTACCTGTTCTTAGCTGACAGGAGTGGCACCCAGTAGGGTCTTCTGCTGCTGTAGCCCATCTGCCTCAAGGTTAGATGTGTTGTGTGTTTAGAGATGCTCTTCTGCATGCCTCGGTTGTAATGAGTGGTTATTTAAGTTACTGTTACCTTTCTCATCAATTGAAACCAGTCTGGCCATTCTCCTCTGACCTTCTGACATCAACAAGGCATCTACGCCCACAGAACTGCCACTCACTGGATACTTTATCTTTTTCGGACCATTCTCTTTAAACCCTAGAGATGGCGTGAAAATCCCAGTAGATCAACAGTTACTGAAATACTCAGACCAGAGCTATCGCTTTAAATGTTTCTTATACATTTCAATTTAAATCTGAGTAGGACTCACATTTGCTAAGTAAATTGTGTACAATATGGGACACTTGAAAAAACATGAATAAACTTATGAATAATGCTTGCATAGTAGTCATTATTCATAGCAACATCCAATGCTTTGCTTGTTAACATTAGTTAATACACTGTGAGTTAACTTGAGACAACCATTAACAACTTTATATTTTTTTTATGAACATTGACAAAGTTGAATATATACTGTAATAAATGTACTGTTCATTGCTTCTTCATGCTAGTAAATGCATGAACTATTCTAAAGTGTTACCAAAATGTTTTCTTGAATGTTCCACAATAATGTGTTCACATTTGAGTTTGCTGCCAATGCAAGTTTTTTTTTTTAAAGCATCACATGAGCAAAAACTTTGTTTACTTAATTATGAAATACCTCTCTGGACAAATTCCAATGCGGCTTCACACTGTATTGTGAGGTGTTCACAATCTCAAAGAGCACTGCTGAAAAAAAAAAACAACATTTAAAATGTGTCTATCTGTTATTAAAGCTTTGATAATATCAGTTTGTGTCTCCAATTTTAGTAATAGAAAAAAGGTCAAGACTCCATAGTTGTGCCTAAAAGGAATATTTCACCCAAAATTAAAAAGCTGGCATCATTTATTCTTCACACCACAATGAACATGAATTAATGTGCAACATTAATGTGAAACATTATTAAACTATTGTGAAATATTTGTAGAATTTGCTATGGATTTGTTTTCAAAGAAAGCTTCTGAAATTAAATATCAGGACAAAACAAACATGTAGCAAGTTTCTCAATATTCCAAACAAAATTTTAAATAAATAAAAACATATGTGTTTCCCATTTGGTAATTTTAAACAGTATTTCCGTGTTTGTTGAAACAAAGAGCAGGAAAGTATTTTTCCCTGCTGGTTTCTGTCTCCACACTCCCAGTGTTTTATAGACAAATAATAGAGAACTGGTCTGTCAGCATTCCATCTTTTAGCATTAACCTTCTAGAATTCCACCCTAGAATTTCTCCTCTTAAAGCTCATCTGGTGGAGATCGACAACTCCAGAGGTAAATAGTGCAATATTTAAATAAATAAAGTAAATACAGCAATAAAATAGTTCAGTTTTACATCCTGTGTATTTAAGACTCAAGTACAGTCCAGAATGAAGATGAGCAGGGGGCTGCTAAAAGGGGGAAATTAGGACGATTCTAAGGGATTTTTTTTTTTAGCCCCCTGATAGCATAACCTTTGCCTAACAAGACACTCTGAAACCTTCATACTGTCCTGTTCACACAAATGTCCTAAACATAAATAACTTGTTTATTTTGGATGGGGAAGCTTTTCTGCTATTAGTAAAGAAGCTTATTAAAAAAAAGGATCTAGCAGAAAGAAGATGAGCAGGGGTGCCACCAAAGAGTGGAAAAGTTAGAACAATCTAAAGGCCAACCACTTTTTGGGACCCCGGAGATATTATCATATACTACTGTGATCTTTAACTGTTGTATGATTTTAATGAGAACGCTTAACCTATCAAGACATTTGCTTCATGTGAGGATGAGCAGGAGTGCTACTAAGGATTGGAAAGTTAGGACGATTCTAAGGGCACATGCACTTTTTTGGACCCCCAGTCCCAGTTCATTAGAGCATTGTTGGGGATCTTGTGAGTATTTTACTGTTTGCTGCCTGTCTAAAGGCTGTTCATATTTCAGCACTGCACAGGAAACCCGAGTTAGTAAGATGACACGCACGGGTGACCTGCTGCTGTGGTGACAGAAAAGCATTGAAGTCCAAAGTCAACACACATAAACATAGACAAACACACTGTCTGGATTGCCATTGTATAGTAACAAAAACATAGAAATGGAGTACAACCTGTCGAATTAAAAAAATTTTAAGGCAAAGTTTTATATGAATATAAAATATGCATATGAATATATAGATATTCAAAAGTACAGCAAACATTTTCAGTCTATTTACAACCCCTGATGCAGTCAAATATAAATTACTACACTAAAACTAAAGACCATGATGTTAAAATATTTCATTCATTGTACACTCTGTTTTATGTATACTAAATAAGTGCAACTGATTTGCGCACAATATGAATGCACTTAATATATTTATAGGGATTGGTAATCTGCCAAAAAATTAAGATTTGCATATAGTCAAACTTCTAGAATACTACAGTCTGTAATGTATATAGATTTGTTGTATTTTTACTGTTTTGAAAGACACTATTGGTAAAATCAAATATTCTTTCATTTAAAAATAAAGAACATATATTAGGCATGCTTTTAGAAATGGCTATAGTCTGCATCATATCTGTTATATTCCAAATCTCACCCCTATTTACAAGGCATACATCAGTGCACTATTTGCACAATTTTAATGGGGCGATAAAATTTGCTTAAGGTCACGAAGTTCAGAGGTCATCATTATACTGCAAAAAGGATTTTTTTTTTAAGTTACTTTAGAAAAATACTTTTTAGATACACTGAAAAAAAAATATTCAAAGATGATTCCTTGGATTTACAAAAACATTTTTAAATGAAGGTTGTAAACAATTTATTTGGATGGAATTTTAAAAAATTAAGTTGAACATTACTAAATGAAATTTGTTTGTTTAAATTCAACACATAAATAGTTTGTTACAGTTGCACATAAATCATTTTTTCCATTGTATTTCTGAATTTAAAGTATTGATTTATGTTTCTTACTATTGATTTTTGAGTGAATTTTGATGTAAATCCTACTCCAACATTTTTTTTTTACTTTTATAGGTGTCAATATTATTAAAAAATTGCTTACAATTAGTGAAATTAAATTTAAATTTGTTAGTTTTGGCAAATTTTGCATAATTAG